GATACTTGTTTTTAATCAAATAACACGCTTAAATATAAATTTATTTGGATGTAAGAAAAAATTCTCAACATTAAATTAAATTATAATAATGACGAATAAACTTTCTTACGAGAAAAAATATTATTGTCAAAATTAAACTAAAATTTTGAAAGTTAGAAATTGTTGCGTTAGTTTGAATTGCTCCGTGATAAATTTTGAATAACAAATTTAACAATATCATTTTATAAAACTAGTTGATATCAGTTTGGATCATTTGCATAAACTTGTTACGCATTTTACATCATAAGAATAATAATATAGACTATTTTGATAGGAGCAATATCGATGATAAATAGTTACAACGTGCAATAATTTATCCTTAAAGCAGCGAACATCTTATGGTTATTGATAGCTTGCTTAAGTGGGTTTATTACTAATTAATCTATGAATCTTTTGCATATTTAACGTTCTCAAAGCTCTCATTATACCTGCAATATTTGCAATTCTACCCTGCGCATTAAAATTCGAGTCATATACGGCTTGGTTGTACGTAATGGGTGTGATCGTCGAAAGGTAGGTGTTACACTATAAAATGTATCTATATTAGCATTTTTAAGCAATTAGTAATAGTAGACGACCGTTATAAACTCGCAAAACTTGGCGAAAAGGAATTTCTGATATCAAAAATTTAATTTTTTTTTAAAATATATTTTTTAAGAACTTTAACATTTATCTCGGTACTCGTGTGTTTCCACTAAGATTCGTAACCGAGATCTTTATTATGTAAATGAGAAATTGCGTATAGAACTTTATGCTAATTAACTGAATTATTAATCCGGGACTATATCGATAAATTGTGAGTCATGTAATATTTATTAATCGGCATTAAAATGAAATTTGTTGGTATTGCAGTACATATTTTACCAAATGTAAGATGAAACGTGCGCTGTTTATTATCGACTGTAGTGAAAAAAATGGCTGGGAACTTATTTGGTAACACAATAAAAGCGTTGGTAAACACCGCATCGTCGTTACTGTTATCAATTCTACTTAAGACACTCGTTTTGAAAGAAAACTCTATTAATATCTGGATAAATATACTGTGCAATGTAAAATCAAATTCAGGAACGATCATAATTTAAAAATAAAATAAACTACAATTCATTTCAGTTTAAGATGAGCCAAAAATAAATCTGCGAAATGACATTTTTGTTACAACGTCCAACAAGTAATAAATATTTCACATTTAATATTTAAATAATTATATATAATTAGAATTCTTTTTATTTATTTGTCACTAAAAATCGACTAAACCGCATGAATAATAAAATATTATAAAACTGATCCTAATTTAAGTTGATTAATAAAAAAAATTGAATATTAAACATGTTTTATTTTAAAAATTAAATTATAAAATGATCATTTTAAAATTTAATTAACGAATAATATAAACACACACTGTCGTTTATTTAAAAATTACAACCGACCAATGAACGAAGTAAGACCGTTATAAGTTTATTTAAAAATTTAAATGAACCAATGAAAATCGTATAACAATAAAGTGTGTTTATTTAACAAAAGGAGAATTTAAATTAATAAGCGGAAAAAATGTAAAAAATTTTTATTAGAAAAACTGAGAAAAAAATCATGGCGACATCATTTTTCTCCTAAATTAAAAAATATTTAAACCTTTTTACGATATCGACCAATCGGGCAATTTTATTATTTCAAATTGTCCAATAAGCCGAAGGCAATAAAGAAATTGAGGGAAAATTGAGATCTGTTGCTCTACATTAAATTTGATAATGGATTATATTAATGTATTGTTTAGAAAGGGAAGAAAACATTTAAATTTGGTGGATTCTATGAAAAGCGGATTATAATATCTTTAATATTTAAAAAGAACGATAGAAAACAGGGAAAGAAAAGACGATAAAAGCACAATCGAGGTGAAACGCATTATTCATTTGCACAAAGGAAATACAAAGAAGTTGAGAGAGAGAGAGAAGATAAAAAAAGAATTATAAAAAGACGGATAACATGTAGATTGATGTGTATTCATGTGTAAAAAGTTCGATTCCGCGATTTTCCGGGTTTCCGCCCTCGCAATTTTGCTTTGTGTGAAAATGTCGATTTAATACAGTTTTCTAGGAAACGATTTGTTATTCTCGCTATAGTAAAAGGCAGTTCCGAAAACATTATTTCTGAAAACATTGTTTCCCACGATACAAAAATACCTTACTACTCTATTGTCCAATGGGCCATTTCTAAAATTATCCATTCCTATGCAAATTGCTACGTTTTCAGTTTCGCGACGTTTTCTATTTTCTGCATTTAGTACTAATTGACCAGTCGCGTTGCGCGAGCTGGCCTTAACAAGTTACGAATAAGTAGATTATAAGCCTTTTAATGCATTATAATTGATTGAATTTTGACTTTCATAGAGTTTGAAACTGGTATTTCCATTTAGTATTAATTATTCTAGATCAGCTAAAAAGCATTATCATCCGCGACGTCTCTGGCTATAAGCCAAGCGACGCGATACTTTACGGGATTAACACTCGAGTTGTACGAATTTTTGGAAGTATACTCTCGAATGGACCGTTTTGAAATTATATTAGGAAGGCGATAACGTTATATATAAGAAACTTTCACTAAAATATACTTGAAAGTGTCATAAAACATATAAAATAAAGCGATTCTGCGATCTCGTTCGATAATGAGTCACGTTGCAGATATAAATTATTAATTAATTACATGTTATCTAAATTAAAATGAATATATAATATATGTATAAACGAAGAATAGATATAGTGAAAAGTTTCGGCGTTGCATTATTATAATAACGCCGAAAATAATCTCGGAATTCAATTTTAAAGACATTTTATAGCTCTTTATTGAAAAAAATTAAATAATTTAAATTCAAAAATTTTATCCGCTTTTCTTTTTATAATCTTAGTTTTAGAAGAGAGCTCCGACTGCTAAAAATAAATTTAATAAAAACTTTCGCGCATATTTAAGATAAATTCGCGTTAAGCGTATCGCGAACCAATAAGAAGGGAGAGTTGCCATCATGCGTCATCGACGATATCGCACTATTTTTGAGAATCGCAGCAAATAACATCAGATACGTCACCGACACAGGAGCAATATCCTGGTGGCTTTTCTTATTGGCCATCCTGTAGGTTCGGTGTGAATGAACCTAAAATCGCTCAGTCGTTGGAAATGATACATCTGATGCTATTTTATTGCACTAGATGGCGTCGTTAGTCCATAAAAGGAACAAATTGTAGTACTTAAATCCGTCCTGATCATTCGTGAGTATTCCGAACGTTAAATTCGCTTTGTAGGCGGTAGCACGCTGTTATAATAACAATACAAATCGGATTGAACGATCTAAACTTAGCAATGTGGCTTATTAAACTATTAACAACTTCATTTCCTATCATTAACTACCCATTAACGCGCTAATATTACATCATTCTCTTTGCATAAAAGACATTTAGCAACACGTTATCTAACAAACGATAATTAGCCATTAACGAGCCATTAAAAATCACTTACTATTCATTAACATGCCTTTACTATTCAATAACATTTATTACTATCAGATTTCTTAACATTTTGAATAATAAAATGTTCATTCGCGCGATAAAAATTAATCAAACCATCTTTATGTAGTGTTTACGTCGCTTTAAACACTAATTAACAATGTAAATCACACTATCGCCACATTACAAAAGCATCCAAAGGACAATAACGTTAGTCACGAAATCCAAACTTGAATCAACAGTATTGTATTCGAAGGATTTTGTAATCTGTATTAATAGAAAATGCACCGTTAGTTTGACGAATACATTCTTATTAATATTATTAATGTATACGACACAATAATGGAAGCAGAATACATAACAGAATCGAGCTGAAACGAAATATTAAGTATTTATAGTTTAGTAATTAAAATCAAGTTAGGAGAGAAAAATGTTTCCACGCCGTACGCAAGTTGATTGGTTGACACATTATTTGAAATGATTTCCTTTAACCCGATTGGATGAAAAAATATTCTTGGCTGCACCTTCATCCAAACGGATCGAGGAAAATTATTTTCAATTTATATACCACTCAATTAGTTTTAATTTTTGCTAGCATGAACACTGTTAACTCTTGTACATGAATTTTCCTTTACGTTGTCGTAAATATACTTAAACACATCTTAAAACTAACAGTGATGTAAAAAGTTATAACATAAGACATTATTACATTAATAAAAGTATGTTACTATCGAAGAATGTTACAGTTTATTGCTATAATAGAGTTGTTACAGTACGATACTACTGTAATAGATGTCTTCGTGTTATTAAAGGTGTATTACGAATCGCTACAATAAAATATAAGTTACAACTGTAGTTGTTACAAGTATAGTAAGCCTTATTAAGTTACAAAAGTTACCGTTGTTATTAATTTATTTTTGCTACGTGTTCATTTATTATTATAATAATAGAATTCATTTCTTAACTATGTTAAAATCAGCTTTAACACGTGCTGCATTTGTATTGTGGGCAACGATTGCTCAAAATACTTATTGTTATAATTGAAGAGGCATATTAAAATGTGTCTTTGATATATTTATGGTACAGAGGTTGTGTTATTGTTAATAAAATATTTATGTTATACAAAGGCAAAGTTTATTATTATTATTATTATTTATATATTGCAAGGTTCAATATTTATATTTCTATCATTTTATTTCAAGTATCAGTTTTATTGTCAAACAAATTTCTACTGTTGATATAAAGACATAAACCGGAGAAAAATGAATTTAAACGTAATCAAATTTGTAAAGTTATACTCAATTTAAAATTTATAAGAATAAGATTGCGCCATAATAAAAAATTTAAGAAAATATCTAACAAATGAAATTTATACATGAGAAAATGAATAAATCTTTTATTTTTTTATTTGCAAGTTTGCGACAAAGTTTAAATTATAAAAAAAGTCGACATTACAATACGTAACACGTGTTTATTTTTCATGTAAACTGTACAACATGGGATGTTACAAGAGCAATCGTTCACATTAATTTTATGTTTGGTTCGTTTCACAAAAGCAAATTTTTGAAATGAATTTTTTCTTCCATATACGGTATATAACAACATGAGATAGAAATTTGACTCTTCGTACGGAAAAGACGTTTACTTAGAAGCACAGTCTTGAAGAGTGCGTCCTTCGGAATAGAACAGGGTAGTGATGGAGCTTTCTTCCGTGTCCTCCCTCCACAGAAGGCAATAAAACACCAAAGGATAAAAGAGAGCGGTGACTCACCCCAATAAAAGGATAAAAGTTGTCCAAAAAATAGATTTAAAACCTTTCTCTTCCAGCATGGCACCTTCGACAGAGTGAAAAGATGAGACAAAGCGTGACACAGGCGCAGATACCCAAACCCAATCCGACTATCCACCAATAGAACTGGAAACGATCGTCTTGGGTCTCGCACAGACTAAATTCTTCGTCATCCCTTCGTATCGTTAACTGGTAATCTGTGTTAAAGTTGGGGCAATTCGGAACACCGTTGCATACCAGCTCCTTAGTCAAACAAGTCCTGGAGAAGGTACAAAGAAATTCGCAATCTTTCTCCAAGCTTAACAAAGATTCCGTGCCCGAGGGTGGAGGAAGGACTTTCAGCTGCGTCCACCACAGAGAAAAATTCGTCATGGTGGCGTCCTTCGTGCGGACTTGGATAGAAATACCCACTTCCGTTACCTCTTCTTTTCTTACTAAAAATTCGCGATCTCTGACCCCGTTCTTGGGACAGTATTGCATTTGATCTATGGTTAACAAATCTGTGCTGCAGTTACCCGGACTATTGTAGTAATCGAGTCGAAATGCTACGTCCATCCTGTGAAAAACCGGTATAAACCAATTACACCACAGTTGACGAGTACAACCCGAGGTGCATGGTTTGTCCATTTCTAAAGGTGGAAAAACCAGAACACCTTGAAGATCTAGCTCTAAATTTTCGTGTCCGCAACGCGTTTCGCTATAAAAGTTGTAATCGATTTCTGCCAACTGGCGATCTTTAGGAGAGAAGTTGCGCCCCTCGCTAACCGGTTCTGTTTTCACATTCATGTGCAATATAGGACCGAGTGAGGCGACACTATGAACTTTTTTCCTACCCATGGAGCAGAGACAAATCGGACTCTTGTTATCTTGCACAAATTGTATAACAATCAGCTCTTCTTGACATTGATCACAATTTTCTGTTAACGTCTGGAATCCAGACGCTATGGTTACGTTGACTCTGCCGTGTGGCAAGCGATGCGCATGGAACGTATAATTACACCATAGAGGCTGGGAGTGCGTAGTGATGTTGATGTCGTGAGCGGTAATACCGAAGTGTCCCGACAATCCATTTTCCGATAAGTAGGTCCTGCTGCAGGTAGAGTGTGTGGAGGAAGAGCCTCTGGAGCCGACATTAATAGCTTTCACTTCGAATCCGTAACCCAAAGAAGAGCCATCGAGTGATCCCGTTTTACTAAAAAATTCGATGAACATGGAGGGGGAGGTAGTTTCATAAACAGACCTGGGAGGATCCGTCCTAGGACGGTTGATATCGCAGATTTTAGATATAATTTTAGCCGGATCAGCATCGTAGGAATCGTATAATTTTAACGACTCTTCGCATAGAGTGACTCTCTCGACTCGGAACCAAACGAATTCCATCCTGACTACCTCATCCTCCGCCACCAGAAACCTATAACTACAGCTGGTGTTAACGGGATACCAAGAGCGTAAATTAGAAAATACGTGTTGCTGATTTTCTCCCAAGTGACGTTCTATCGTACAGTTTTTATGCTTCAATTGTAGAGGCTGAGATTCCGTAGCTCCGTAGATGCTGTCGGCTTTGAAATGGAAGCCGGTATTCAACAGAGGTCCGGCGGGCGAACTGACGAAGACCACCAACATTTCAGGGCCCGAGGCAATGATATTCGACTTTAATCTCCCTCTACCACACAGCGTAACGATCAGGGAACTGTCTTCGGTAGCTCCGTCGTAAACACGCACGTAATCGTAGGGGCATTCCTCCTGATTTCTCGTGACAGGTCGAGGAAAGCACATGAGCAAATTGTCGCAACGGAGCCCGTCGACGTCGAAAGTAGTAAGATCCAAACCCACTAAGCTCTGGCTTACTCTCAAATGATATTTACAATGAAGATTACGTGGATAGATACCTGGAAAACCGGGAGATTGAACGAAACATCTGCCGGGTGAGCAATCGTGAAATTTTCTTTGGCAGTACGTTCCGGGTATAGGAGAGCCTCTTCTGTGAGGATACAGTTGTGCGTATTGTCCGTATCGAGCGTGAACTTCGCTCTGTTGCTCGACGTTGGCATCGAACTGTAGGTAAGTGTCGTGTCCGTAGTTATTAGCGTGGAAAACGATCTTGACGTAGGGTGTCTCGGAGACGAAAAATTTGGGAGAATCGATCTCGCCGCAATAGAAACCCGGAGAATTGCGATTGGTTTCGTTGCTATCTCTATAACCGTCTACGATTTGTAAGTGTCCTCCTATGCACTTTCTTCTGTCTTCTGCCGGTATTCCTATTCTTAATCTGGTGAATCTAACGAACACGATCCAATCTTCCCGAGCGGGTCTCACACGAATCCGATAAGTACAATGCAACGGTCTTCCTCTATTCTTCTCGCTTACAGGTGGAGTTGACACTGCTTGATAGATGTCGACGGTCTTGTTACATCTGTCCTTTTCAGCTGTAATAAGAGAATAAAGAATGAATAAAACATATTTTTCCACTGGCTACACGATAAGCTACGAGTTTATGTCTCTATACAGAGTAATGGAATTATTATTGCTCTTTGAAGAAATTTTGTGATGCATGAAAAAATATATTTTGATACTGTTATTTTTTTAAACTCGAAACACACGATAAAAAAACCGAGGCTTTTTTCATTATTGTGAAAAAATATTTTATTGCTAAAGGAAATTTTTTGATAACTTAGTTTACGTGGAATACATGTTTATAAATGAGTATAAAATAGAAATGTAAAAAAAAACAGCGCTAAAATATTTATATTTAAATGTAAAACGACGATAAATAATATTCAGATCTACGGAGATTTAACGTTAATTGATCTTAATAGATTACAGATTTAAATAAGAACGAAGGAGATGCTTCATTAAGGAGATTCACACATTGAAATTTTTCAATGACTATAAAATATTTTTATTGCGTGAAAAAACTGCATTAACTATTTGATGGTTTATTTAATTGCCAGAGATTAGAACACTAAATTATTAAAACTGTACTAATAACGTTTTAATGAGGCAGAAAGAAAAAGCGTACAAACGTTTTCGAGTAGTTATATTCATTACCACAAACGGCCATTCTATAATCTTTTCTAGATTAAGAATGGAGTCGTGGTTCATTAGTCTACAAAGGCGAAGGAAAATAGTTCCGTGTTCGTTACCTGGTAGAAAATAATTTTCCAATATATATTGTATATATTATTTTAAAACTGTTATATCTATTTGAAATTTCTGACATTTTTGCAAGAAATCTGAGATTATAAAATACTGAAAAACGTCACACAGCTCGGTACGAAGTAATGTTTGAATTTTGGAAGTTTTTATATCTTATTCAATTTCGTATATAGGTTCGTTGCTTAGCTACGGCGGAGGAGCGATGTATATACACATTTGAGATCCATCACGCCAGCTCCATAGTTACTGTGGAAGATAAGTTACTATAAATGTTCTATTTACAATCAATGTGCTTGATAATTATGTTTTATTTGAGAGTGTTCGAACCATTTTTCTTGTAGTGTGTCCGTTCCATTAGAGCCTTTCCACTATTGTAATTTCAGGAATCTAAAAGTATTGCTTCTAATTCAAAGTTCCTTCTGACAGATGACGTTAGAATCAACTTGTAATATAAATTTTGGTGGCACTTTTTAACAAAAAAAAAAAACAAAAACAAAATGTAAAACAAAGTAGGAGACAAAATTTTCATTTTTGAAAATAGCTATGTATTGAAATCTTCCCTATCTTCATATCTCTACGTTAAGATAAAGTTTCTGCTCGTTCTATCACTTATTCTATTTAATTATTTCCGACATCCTCACCAACGTTTGAGTAATTGAATTTTTAAGCTTAAGAAAGTGTATAAAATAAAGATTTTTTTATTCTAATTAAGTAGTTAAATGTAAAGTATTTTTAAAGAAAAATGCCTCGTTAAAGAAATATAGACTCATTGTGAAGTAAGAATTAAAATGGAAATGTAGGAAATGCGAAACGTAAGGCTTTTAAAATATCTTTTCTACTTTATAAATGAGTTCGAGTATTTTTCTTAAAGATTTTTTCTAATGGCTATTATTTCCAAAACTTCGCGTATTTGCCGTTTCCTTTAGATTACAAGACATTAAGCAAAGAAAATTGAGTTTGGATAAACAAACAGATTAAAGAATAAATTGCATTATTTCATGCCGAGAGAGTATTTCTTATCTATTATAGTAATAAATTCAATCCATTAAAAGTAAGAAGATAGTAGAATGATTACACAATAATATTTTACGATAGAACGAGCTTCAATAATTATAAAGAAGAGAAAATAATATTCTGAAATTAAGTGGATAGAATTTTCCTTCTTAAAGCTCTTTTAAATTATTGAAATTTATTTATCAAAAGATAAATTTTTTTCAATTAAGCACTACTTCTCCATCGTAAACAGAATTAGTTATATAAATTCTACACGTAATTATTCGTTGGCATTCGTTTCTTGGAAGAGTTTTCCTTCTTAACTCATAATGATTATGATCTTTACTTTTCCCTAAAGTTTTAATATTTGTTTATAATTCATTTTATCGCTCATCACTCGTGTTTGATTGTAGAACAATATAGAATTTAGGAAATTTATAAACGTGTTGTAGAGAAGCGATAAAAATACTATAGAGAGGAACGAGTTAGATTGGTGCTGAATTATAGGGGAAACGTTACGATATAGATGAGTATAACAGAATTATACAGGAAGCATTAGTGATATTTTTTGGAAGGGTATAACAGGATTACGGAGAAAAGTAAGGAGGATCAGTAAGGATTATGGAGTAAGCTTTTGTCGAAGGATATAACAGATTAAAGAGGAAATACTAGTAATAGTTCGTAATATAACAGAATTATAAAGTAAGGTAAATAAAACTTTATAAATAATAATAAATTTACAGAAGGAATATGGATAAGATTCTTTAGGAGTATAACGGGATTATATAAAAGATAAGATTCTCGATCGCGAATATAATTCTGAAGAAGATATCAAGAGAGAGGGGGAAGATTGCATTGTACAGTGTATACATATTTACAAGTGTCATCATTCAAAACTATAAACAAGTTTAATTTTATGCGTAAAACTGAGTATTCGATAAAGAGATTCATTCTTTTCCATTGATTTTAATACCTGCGAGGTGACTATTGAGCTCGGGCAAATAATCTTTTTTTCTTTTATAAATTTCAACTTCCAGTTTTACAGACAGAGTATACAATAACGCAAGTCTTAATCAAAAGTAGTTTAGTTCTTAATCTTAAACTTTTTTTCCAACGACCCTAGTTACAAAATGCATTTCCTAAACCTCGTTTTCTCATTAGTCGAACATATTAGTAAGTGTTAATTAAATAAGAAGATTTGTATATCAAAACTACTCGAAATCCAGTTCTAATTGGATTTGAAAGAGTTATGATATCCAGTTAGAACCACCTGTTATTGCAGACTTTATCTACAGAAAGGAAAATTGAAATATATAGATAATAAATGTAAGGCGTATCTATTTTTTAAACTTTAATAATATTTTTTAAAAATCTAAAAAAGAAGTTTACTTTTCACACCGAAGCGACGAGTATAGAATATCAATAAGCGTAAAGAAAAATAATATCAGTGAAAATAATAAGGTTAGCGAGTTTAATGAAGTCGATATCTTGCGAATATTATTTCTGCAGATGTAGTTTTCATTATTTATTTTAATAATTTGCAGATAAGAACTGGCTATTCTACTTTATTTTATTAAGGATAAGGTAATTTATATTCATGTTGTGAAGGGGTGGAAAAAAATATTTCGAAAATGAGAATGAATTCTAGATAACGACACTTTATTGACTTTCCAATGTTGGCGTGTTATGCAGTGAAGCACGCTTTACGTATCATGGCAGAGATATGAAAGTTATTTAATCATGAATTATTCCAGGCACGAATAAGATAATTCGACAGGAAGAAAACTTTTATTTTGTACTCGATTTGTGTAACAGAAGAGAAAGATACGTGCTTCATTTAAGTTTAATCACTCGTCCCCCCCGCTTTTTAATTCAATCAAATTTATTTTCCATTTTTAAAGTATTCTTCATTAACCAAACTTATCATACACGTGAAGCATTTGATGAGGATAATTTATTTTGTGGAGTATTTTTAATGTAATTAAGCTCGAGGTATTAGGAAAAAAAAAACTGAAACACGTTAAAAATGATTAGGAAAATGAAGAAGATAAAAATGCTAAAAAGTTATATTCCTTTCTTGTTTATTAACATTGTAAAATTAATCATTTATGACTCAAAGTTGTGGCTGCGAAGGAATTTTCTATTTAATAAAAAAAAAAATCAAGTAGAAATGTTAAAAATTCTTTTAAACCTGTCAAGTGAATGAATTCGCAGTTAAATGTTTAAAACTTTGGTTATAATTCGAAAAATTTGCTATCTATGGTAAAAGCAAGTTAATCTCTAACGATAATTGAGATTTTCTAATTATAATTTAGGAGTTAGAAGATATTTTTCTTAAGAAAAATAGAGCGTAGGAGTCTCACATATATACGAAATAAATTGTAGAATTGAGGGAAAGTAATTAAATTCCATTTCAGAAAAGAGAAAGTAGAGGATACAAAAAAAAAGAAGATGGACTTTTAAGAATCGAGTAAATGGATACTTTAAAAGCCAAAAAATTAAAACGTATGGAGTTAAAATTAGATAAATCAGTTTGAAGTTTAAATTTAAGTTAATTACTAATGGTAATTGCGGGTTTTAGTATGATATAACCATAAATTACTAAATTCAGTTACTCTTTGGTTAAAAACACGTCATTCTATTGATTGAGGTTTCTCCTTCGCTGCATGACTTAAGAGTAACGCAGTGAAGCACGCTAGCAGGAACTCTGTTTATATTCATGTAGTGCTTTGTTTTCATGTAAAGTAAAAAATTTATGACATCGTAGGAGAATTTTTTTTTGTTTTCTAAAGTAAGTTTCTTTGTAAAAATCATAGGAAAATAAACAATAAATAAGTTATTTTAGTTTAGAAAATTGTTTTTTTAACGTCTTAACTATATTTGTTCTGAAGAAAATTACCATAAAAAATTCAGTATAACGATGAAAAAATTTAATTTAAATAATAAAAAAACTATAATAATAACAATAAACATAAAAATTAATTGGCATTCAACTTAAATTCCCAATACGAAGAAGAAAATGGGACTAAAATGATGACAAATTTACCAATTATCATGAAATTTAAAACTTAAAAATTTTAAAAATGATTAAAGAATCAAATTGGATAAATCGAAATAAATAAATAAATAAATAAATAAAAATGTTGCTTTAAAAACTCGAGATAAAAGAGATAAATTTTGATTTATTTCTTATAAAAATATAATTTATTTAAAACCTACCACACTTAATTTTAATTTAAACATTTACAAATAAATTAATTAAACTGTTAATTATATT